TGACTATGGCTGCTCTTTTGGCTCTGTTCAACTTGATATCATGCGGGGCGATGGCCCATTCGACCTCGTCGGTGGCATGCTTGCCAGGCCTTATGGTATCGAAATATGACGCGATATGTAGCAGGAGCTCTGTAGGAAGATCGCACAGCTTCGCCATCGCAGCTCCATATGAAACGACTGGATTAAGGTCAAGATGTCGGGAAGGCGACGCGTGGAATGGTGTGTATAGGTATTGTAAACGCGTAACTTTTCGTCCACAGCTTCAAAGAATACAAAAGTGGTAGAATGGATATATGCCAGAAAATAAAAGAATCTCCGAAGTTCGCAGACTGCTAAAAACCTAGAGGCTAAGCTAGCGTTGGATAGCCATTGAACCCATACAGGTTGTGGGTAGAATAAGTACCTTTGTGACAACGCAAAGCGCCTTCAGGGGGCAGAAAGGTATTAGGTCGGGAAGATGACGATCATGAGAGTGGCACAAAAGTTTTCGAGGTGGCCATGCCTTCTATCTGGACATTCATTATATACGTACAAGAAGTTTAACCCACTTGTGGGTTCCATCTGCGGCCCCAACGGCGATAATCTGGTCCTCTTAGAGCGTTAATTACGCGAAGCCCTTCAACAATGAATTTCAATTCTTCTTGGATTTTAGTCAAACCCTCGTAAGAATTCTCCTGTCGTGGGGGAGCGCAACGAGGGTACCATGGCATGATGGGCATGCACGTAAGCAGATTCACTGGACCGGAGCCCGACTCCATCTGCTACCTCTAGAGCTACCAAAGCTGGGGATGCTGATCCACGTAAACAGCAGCCACACCAATTTCTCGAAATCTCTCCCTGAAATGATCCATTTTTGCGCCCGCATGAAACCCCACCTCTTTGAGGGCTGGATATTTGGATTCGCAATTCTCTGCCAGCCAGATGAGGTCTTGCTCAGGAAAGTCCTCAATGTGTAACCGCTCCAAGGAGGCTGGCAACATTCTGATGACTGCGTTGCACACTTCGGGTCTGCCGGTCTCGTCGTGAATCTGGGTTAGTGTGGGTTGCACAAACTTCGCATCTAGCCAGAGGTTTTGAAGTTTGTAAAAGTTACTGAACGTTCGGCCGCGCGCTTCTATTGTAATGTTCCATTTCGGTAGAGTCTCAATGGCAATTGTGCGTAGAGTTGCTGCTCGCTCAGAGAGGGCCGTTAAAAGGGAGACCATCAAGTCGTTCTGGTCGATCAAATCGAATGTGATGTCCGTATCCAGGCATACGAACCTTTCAAGGCATTTGGCAAATTCAACCATCTCGGCGAGATCGTCATAATCAATCGTAACGTCATCGAAGACGAGTGAGGTTATGTTGGCCTCGAAAATGGTTGTTGGCTGAGAAAAGTGTAGAAAGTCGCTCCAACTTTGAACATAAATATCTGAAACGTTGGGAGCCGCCTCGAACAAGACGTCCCAGGTTTTGGGGGCGTAAGGATCCCAATGAAGGTCATAAGAAAGATCAGCTGAATCGTTGCTGCGCACAGCGTCCTCCAGAGTGATGGACTTCAGCGATGGGAAGCGAGTAGAAAAGGAACCGAATAAGATCAGGTGGCTGTGTACCAGAGTATGATCGGACACGGAGAGAGTGAGGTCGGTGAGGTGAGTTAACCGACTTAACACCAGCCCCGCAGCCCAGATGATGTACTTGGAGTTGCGTATTGTGGGGTTCTCATCATGATAGCTATCTAACAGAGCTAAGTATGATGCGTGACTACCTTCAAGCACCTCCTCGTCTTCGGAGAGTCGGGGTAAATCGGGGGATAAGAGATACGCCATATTGTTCAGGGCGATGCGATCCGGACTGTCTTCTATCTGTATTTGAAGAACAAACTCTTTGATTGAGTTGCTGATGGTAGGATTGTTGTGCAAGACACGGAAAAGATCGATCAGCTGATTAGCCGCATAATCACCGTGAATACTGATAACTCGGTAAGATTCCTCAAATAGAAGGTGACGCCAGGTCTTGTTAACGAAAGAGAGGTTAAAAAGGGAAGCTCGAGCATTTCGAATGGTTTCCGAGGCCTCGCGAACGCATTGATGGCGAGTTTTCGATATTGTTTGCCTGGTCGATTGGGTAGAGTTCCCCGGCTGGTTGACTCGAAGAAAAGAAGCTATATGAAGCAAGAGCTCCACAGAGAGGTCGGAAAATTGCGCCATGGCGATCTTCCAGGAGCTAGTCGAGCTTCCGGAGTGGTAAAGCCCTACAGTGAGGTTTGAAGCCGCGATGGCAATCAACACAACATTTCACACCCACTGGGTCCATTTATGTCACGCCGCTGTCTATGTATATAGCCGAACACAGGGATGGGGCTAGTCGTGTGATTCCATGAAAATAAGCGTCACAAGAAGAGTTCTGCAATTCGTGTGGATACTTTTAGCTAACGAGGTGGAGTACTACACTGCAATTACTACACAATTGTCATTGTGTTGCTGTTGTTGTCACTGCTGTTTCCACTGTCATCCTAGACCGAAAACGATGCGTCAGCCAAAATTCCAGTCTTTTTCAGGAGATTGCTGGCCACTTTCGAGTCGGATGCTCATTTAAGTCCTAGGTCATATTCATCCATAAATGCCGACAATAACTTGACTCAGGCTAACGGAAAACCTTTTTATTGACACAAATGCCTTGGGGGGCTTGTTTCGTTTCAGCTGTGCTATTCACATTGACAGTCTCCCACCTCAAAGAGTGCATATTGATGGCGTTCAGTATTGAATCTCTGCTCCAGTATGATTCATTCCCGGGTAATTCTCGAAATATGCCATGTCTTTCCCGTTTTTGTTTTAAGCATGTCCTGGGATTCCTTCGTCTTTTGTCTTTAGCTCTTCAAACAGCGGACCCCTCAGCGTAGAGCTCTGCTACCAAAGTTGGGGATACGGATCCACAGGAACGATAGCAACGCCAGCGTCTCTCAACTGTTGTACGAGAGGACGCATGCTTGCAGAATTAACATACGTCGCATCTAATCCCAGTTCTTTCAGCTTCGGTAACCGGGACCTGCAGTTCGATGCTAGCCAGCTGAGGTCTTCATCGGTGGGTTTCCCCTCGAGGTGCAGCCGCTCCAGGGAGGCCGGCAGATGTTTGAGAATTCTGCCTTGCAGGGGTTCCGTACTTCCGTAACCTTCATCGCGCGGAGGTTTGCTGAAATCAGCATCTAACCAGAAGTTTTGAAGATTCCGGAACTTCCTGAATGAAAAAGAACCAAGTAATACCGCTGGAAGCTCGTGTACGGAGGGAAGGCAAATGGTATGTAGAGTTGCAGCTAGTTCAGAGAGGAGAGTCATCAACGGAACTGGGTCATCCTCCTCGGAAGTGTCGAGGACCTCCACTCCGAGTAGACTTTCTTCAAAATCAATAGCTGCTCGTCTGCAAACGAACTTTCCGAGATTTGAGAAATCTTTGAGCTTCATTTGCAGTTCGTGGTAGTAAATCTCAATGTCGTTAAGCACGAGTGAGGTTAAGGTTTTCCCGAAGCTATTTGCTTCTTGCTCAAAGAATCCATCAAAATCGTTGAACTTGTGAAGAAAAACGTCCAACACATCTGGGGCGCTTTCAAGCAAACTGTCCCACATGCAGGGAGGTGGGAAGGTCCATCCCACTTCGTTGACAGTAAGACCAGCATCCGCTATAGTCAAAGACTGTAGAGATGGAAATCCAATGGTTCCTGCGCCGAAAATAATGGGTTTTCCGTATGCGAGGGTGTGTTCGGGGACGGCGAGAGTGAGGTGCGTGAGGTGATTCAAGCCGCGGAATACCAGCGCCGTAGCCCAGAGTATGTATTTCGAATTCTTCACTGCGGTTGGTTGTTCCGCATAAACCCTGTCCAGTTTCCTGTGATACCCGTTTAGACTCGTATTACCACGGAAAATTCGGAGGATCTCAGGCCTCATGAGAAAGGCCATATTCCTGATTGATATACGACTCGTGTCATCATTCAGGTCGAAGTGAAGAATAAGTTCCTTGACGAAGCGGCTGATTCTAGGGTTATTGTGCAGAATTCGGAACAGGCTGATGAGCTGGTTGGCCGCGTCTGGACCGTGGATGCTGACGACTCGCCGGGCCTCCTCATAGTATAATCGATGGCAAATTTTGTTCACGCAAGAGAAACTGGAAAAGGAAGCCTGGGCCTCCCGCAGGTCCCTCGCGACTTCTGAGATGCCTCCCTCGTGCTTGAGCAGTATTTCTCGCGTTGAGCCTGCTCCATTTCCCGGCCTATTGACGCGAAGGTGCGAAGCTATGAGTTCCAAAAGCTCCAAAGAAAGGTCTGAGAATCGTGCCATGGTGGCTTGCAGGGAGACGCTGGGCTCTTGTAAGCCTAAGATGAGGTGTTGAGTTTGAAGTTGTAGTGAAAGTTGCGAGCGAAAGAGGGAAGCAATTATTGGCGCACAGACTGGGTCCATATTTAGTAGCGCTGCGATGATTGGCCGGGACTGCCCTGTAAGATGGGAGGATTCATGGCTGGTCATGTGACATGGTGGACATGATGTCTCGAATGTCTCAAAGGAATGACCACGCAGAGATCAATTGCTCTTAGCCACAGGGCTGCTGAGTGAAAGCTGCCATTTTGAGAAAGAATGTTGTCAAGAACAAAAAACAACAAATCTAATGGCCGAATGATTCTCGAAGACTTCCCCAGCTCTTAGAAATGCATTCACTTTGCACCTCATGGATTAAAGTCAAAGAACCAGGTTTTAAGTGAGAATGCGCGGGTCGAATTTCAAAACAAAGACCTTTTCGCCTACTGATATTTCTGAGGCACCATCTGGAATATTCAATGTCTAAGATGCCGGTTTGGACGGAGTATGCTGGAAGCCTCGTGACTGACTTTCCAGTCATCTCAACCACCCCCTGCCCCCAAGGCCCTTACTACTTGAACTCGCTTCTCTGACATCGTTCACTGTGAGTTGCGCGTCAATTTCTCTCACCAACACCAACCAACCTGACCCTGTTCTCCACGCCAGACATACACCATGGGTCAGCTTAGCGATCTTCCCCCGGAGCTCATCCTGACCATCTTTTCTCACTGGCGGTTGGGTCTGCCAATGCATGATCTGTTTGTGTGGACAAGAGACATCGATGAGCAGGGACGAATAACTGGAGTCAGATGGAACGACCTTCTCAACTTCTCACTCCTGAACCGCCACTTCCGCCAAATTGTGTCCGACAAGCTGTACACACAGATCAGGATCCAAGGGAAGCTTCCAATCACGAGACTCGTATCGTTTTTGCGCTTCATCACAGCGCATCCTGAAGCAGCTGCCGACGTGAGGCAGGTGTACATCAACCTCGATCCGGGGAGGACTGGCTCTGGATCTCTTCGACAGAAGGACATATATTTCATCCAGACCGCGGCCGAAAACTCCGGAATCACATATCCTCAAGAGATCTTTCCTTGCGAAGATCTGGTCGCTGATCATTTAGCACAGAGATTAATCGACCTTAACAACCCTGGTTGTCAAGAGGAGGAACACCTGCGACTCCAGGTTCTCGTCGCCATCTTGCTTGCTCATCTCCGAGGAACGCAAGAGTTGGCGCTTACCTGCCCCTACGGCGTATTCAGAAATTTCGCTCGTGGCAACCTAGCGAAGCAGCGTGGCTCAGGATTCGACCCAGATGACGAAAGGGTCAGGTTCGCTGACGAGACACCGATGGTTGTTGGCAAACCCTGGCTCCCGCAGTTGTTCTCTCTTGTTACGACACATATTGCAGGCACCGAACCGTTCCGACCTATCGGATTCGAGGGGGATGAGCTTGCGAATCTTCTCTGCTTGGGCTCAAAGACCAGTCGGCTGTGTCTTGATGACGCCGGTGTGGACTTCAGACTTCAAAAGGGCCCGGTCGGGAATTGGGCGAACATTTCTCATCTCACCCTGACTACTCAGCACATAAGTATCGCAGCCATGCAGAGCATCGCCAATCACTGCAGCGCTTTGTCGACATTCAAGTACTTGCCAACAGCCTACGAGTCATTTGGAGTGACACAATCGACGCAGGCCGAGCCCGGGGAGGTGATACACGCTCTACGGAAACATGCGAACACGCTGCGTACGTTGTGCATTTCGTCCTCAGGGTACTCCCCTCGCGGTTTCATCAGCATGCCTGTTTCTAAGCTCGATTGCTTCGTCGCCCTGGAGAATCTGTGGATTGATAACAGGACCATTACTGGGGACTTGCCTGCGGTCCAGGGGACGCTGATTAAGGTTGATCGAAGAGAAAAGCTCATCATGTCCTTGCCGCCTTCTATCAAAAGGCTCCATTTGCACAACGCTTCGTATGTCCCCAGCGGGGGGCTGTATTGGCTTGCTGGACACAGCGAGCTTTTTCCGAAGCTTGTCAGAGTTGAGTTGGACTGGCCAACGGGCGATGATTACACGCCAGAAGAGGTCATTCGGAAGCTGTTCTTGCAGGTTGGGGTGGACGCGCCGACGAGGCGAGGCATGATTCGGGACGCCCGCTTATGGGATCGGTATTTCTGAGAGCGGCATAGATTGTCGCGTCGTTTGTTGCTTGCTTTTTTTGAGGTTGTTCTGAGAAAATGAAAAGGGGCCTGCAGACAGGGGCCAGCCATTCGCATAGAGCTGTAAAGTCACGTGATATCGTGCCACACTTCGCGTCTGTCACGCGCCGAGACTTTAATTAGCCACATCCCCTCCAACAACGTCACCCTTTCAATGTTCAGGAATACTGTGCCCACCGCAACAAAGCCAAAATGTCACGAAATAAGAATATGAACAAGAACAAGCGACAGAGAATTAAAAAGAGACAGAATAAAGACGCCCAAAAGCCAAACCCATCCTCACGAGCTGCATCCGCGAAGTTGATCCAGAAGCAGAATCCATTCTCACGGCTGACACCGGAAGTCCTCACCAATATCTGTTCCCTACTATTTCCGACGCATCACAACCTGCAAGATGTCTTCGAGGTAGATGGCCCTGCGATTATTCACCGTCGCTGGAAAGACGTGTACAACCTGTCACTGGTCGACCGGAGGTGCCGCACGACCATCAGCCCGTTCCTGTACCGCTGCATCCCCATCCCGGGACCACGCTCCCTTACCAAGCTGCTGTCCTTCGTGCGCTTCGTAACCGACAAACCAATAATCGCCCAAGGCATCCAACAGCTCTACCTCCAGCTCGAAGTGGTGAACTCAGGCGTGACAGTGCTCAGCCAGGACGATGCCAATTGGGTCATGAAGCAGGCCGAGGAGACCGGCACTCCCTTCTGCGAATGCAAATGGGAGGGCCTACCGCACAAGCAGGAGTTCGAGTGGAAGGGCACCAAACGAGCGCAGAGCCGCGTGCCTGAGAGGCCGATGAAGCGGTACACCGACGAAGTCGAGACGCGGAATTGGGACGAGTGCCAGCGCATGGAGACGCTTCTTCTGATTCTGCTGCGTCGTCTCCCTGGCCTTGTCGACCTTGGTCTCGAGCACGGCAAGCGCGTGTTCTCCCACGCGTACACAGCTTTGGAGAATCAGAGGCTAGATGCGGGGGACCGCAAGAGACAAAACCTACCACAAGTACCGCCAAGAGTGACTCTCCCCACGCTGCCTACCGTCCGATCCGTGGCCATGAAGATCAACCGCAGCGCCACCGAGTGGCAACATGTCGACGACAAGGACGTGCGAATCCTCATGGAGATATGTCTCAAAGCCGAGCGACTCTCCGTCGAGGAGCTAAAGCCCGTGGGACGCCTCATGCCTTGGGTAAACCCGAACAACCCCCACCTGTTGCCATGGTTGCACTCTGTCCGCAAGCTCACACTGACCAACTCAAGAAGCGTCGACAGCTGGAAGGAGATGGCCGCCGTGGCCCTCTACATCCGCAGCTGCCCGGTGCTGGAGGAGTTCAGGTTCATGGCGAAATACCGCGAGACGCGCGAGGGAACGCCCCACCGGGTGCGGGTTCCGCAGGAGGCCATGCTCTTCCTCGAGAATGCTCTGACGGCGATGCATTTCTGGTGCCTCAGAACGCTCGTGCTCGACTTCCGCCACTGCATGCAGTCGGATAGGCCCCCTGCCTGGGGCCGCCTCCGCGAGTATGCTAACTTGAAGCACATCTACCTGAACCTGGGGCACCGCATTCCCCAGGGAAGCTACGGCTACCGCGACAGGAATAAGATGGATCGCGAAGCTACGGAAGTGTTGAAGGCTCTACCGCCGTGCGTGCGCGTCGCCAGGCTCGCCGGCGAGTTCTGGCTGCCGAAGCCGCTGAAACGGCTCATCCGGAACCACAAGAGAGTCCCGTATCTGCATGACATCGAGGTGGAGTCTGAAGATGACAGCGGCACGCCTGAGGTGATGGCGTCCCTTGGAGAGAGGTTTGCGGAGTGCGGTACGGGAGGAGGGCAGCTCAGGAGTCCCCAGAGCAGCAAACCGGTTGTCGTCGGCAGTTCAGCGGCAAAGATCTGGCCGCGGCCGGTGCGGTCGGAGTGGAGGGAGGATGCCCCCGAGATTCTCAGGTGGACCAACAGGGAAACGATTACTTACGGGACGAGGAAATACCCGGAGCCAGGCGCGAAGCTGGTCGTGCAGAAACGGACGACTACCCCAGCACCCAGCAAGAAGACAGAAATGCCGATGCCTGTCTGGCTGGAGTGGATGCATCCTGCCTCGGAGCCGGGCAAGGAGCCCATCCTGAGGCGGACAAACATGCCCAGCGAAACGCCTATTGCGATCTGGCCGAATTATGAAGACGCGCCTCGCTCAGTTCATGAAAGCATACGAATCATAGGGGCCACGCCGGGTGACCCGGCGGACGCGGCCCGGGCCACGAAGCGGCTTTGGGCTCTAGTAAGGCAAGCAGCGAGTCCTTTACCTCTATCATGAAGAATTTTGCATTTGAGCGTGTTCTTTGGGCTTTCTGGGCGGGTTATGGTCCAACATGACGATCGGGACTATACCATGATGGTGGTCACGAAATTGCAAATTTCAGAGATACCAGCAGCAGCGTAAATATATCCTACGAGATCTTGTCACTGCGAGTACATGTTCGAAGTTGCCTGTGCCGTCATGACCCTGATCATGCCTGGTTCCAGTCGAGTCACCGGCGAGAACCTGGCCTTTTGCATGGCCACAAGGGTTGCAAAGGTCGTCCACACAGGAACCTAAACGCTTGTTTGTCTCCAATGCTGCACAACCTCAATCTACTCGGCAAGTTCTTTTGTTCCAACACAACGATTATTCTCATGCCACCGCGTCCTACCAGACTGCGCCATTCACAACCTCCCACGTCATCATGGCCATGGCTAGCATCACAGACCTCCCAGCCGAGCTGATCGACAACATCCTCGACCTCGCCACGACAGAAGTTCCAGAAGACACAGCCATCGAGTCCCTCGGCCCCAGACGCGTCGCCGACTGCCCGTCCATCGTGCGCCAACGAATCATCAACAGCCTCGCGCCCACCTGCCGCAGGTTCCACGAGCTCTTCAGACACGAGCAGCACCGCGTCATCTTCCTCACCAAGAGAAACATCTTCCCGCGGATGGTCAAGCTCCACCGGGTGCTGGGCTCTACCCCACAACCAGCGGTGTTCCAGAACACGACGCAGTTCGTCGTGGACTACGAAGAGAACCTGTTCCTGGCGAAGAACTATGGGGATAAGGCCGGCTATGGGAAAATAGCCAATAAACTTGACTCTTTGAGGAGCGACACGCGCAAGGCTGGATTCAGGTGTATGGACGAATATTGGGTTCCTCTGGATCGAGTTGGGCGCGAATGCATCGGACCGCATGTGCCGTTGCAGCGCGGGCATGGTCATAGGCTGGGTCTGCTGGCGCAGCTAATCCTGCTGCGCCTTCCGAACGTCGAGATGGTCACTTTGCCTTATTGTATGATGGACCTTCTTCAACCCCTGGACGTGTCGTGTATGAATGCGAAAGTCCGGCAGAAATTCCCGCCTCGCCTCAAATCTCTGCGCATAACCGAAGTTGACAACGGAGATGGCCACCCTGGGATAGCCGGCATGACCCCCAGCCGGTGCGGGATCTTCGCAAAGTACGGCTACATCAAGGAACTCATAACCAGCGACCTACAAACGGGGCTCCCGCCGGCGGAGTTCATCGCATTCAGCTGGCTCACGCGCCTCGTCCTCTGGCACTGCGCCGTCATCGACCCGAACCACTTAGACCAGGCCCTGAAGCGGCTCCATAGACTGCAGACCTTCGTCTACACCGTCAAGAGCTCGCCCACTCCTAGGTGGCCTCGATGCCCCATGTACGAACAGTATCTGGCGGTACGGTTCCCCGAGACACTGACGACGCTCTGCATCGACGCGCCGTTGGATTATTGGTTCGGGCGGTCCGGACTGGCGCCGGTGTTTGGCGGCCTGCAGAAGCTTGAGAACCTGTGGGTGAACGCGCACAATCTGAGCAGGGCAGGGCTGGGGAACGGAGTTGGGATTCTGGAATCGACGAGCCGGCACGATCGCAGCTACGACCGTATCGAGATTGTAGCGGCGGAAGGCGATCTGAAGTGTTTGCCGAAGTCGCTGAAGAGGCTGCACATATTGGGGGAGATAGGGCGCGTTCGGGAGGATGTGAAGGGGCTGGAGGAGGCGGTTGGTACTGGGAGGCTGCCGAATCTGAAGGAGATCGCGGTAGTGACGACGATAGAAGATGAGGACGGCCCGGGAGAGGGCTTTTGGACGCGGTATGAGGCGGATTTGTGGGGTTTGGACAGAGAGAAGCTTGGGGGGGAGGGTGTGAGATATTTAGATGAGGTCGATCCAAGACCATACATGTGGTAGGATTCCGGGAGGGTTTGAGCAAGATCTGTCATGGGGATGAGAGCATGTCACGTTACGAGCAGAGGTTTAATGTCATCATCGTTACTGTATTCTAGTGCGGGAACCTTTCTGTGTCTGCTATGATTCAGCCCAATGCATTTGCCAGTCTCTGCAAGCCAAAGTCAACCAAACGTGACCAGATTCCAAGCAATTCCATCTCTCCAACTGTTAACATCCACCCCAAGATCATAACCTAGACGAGCGCTAGACTATCACTGCTTGTAGCAACCGCCGTTCTTGAAGGTGGCGGGAATACCGCAGGTAGTAGACTCGATGGCCTCCTTGACGCACTTCTCGTTGCTGTCGACCTTGAACCAGGAGAACATGTCCAGCTCCAGGGAGACGCCCTTGCCGAGGTCAGTCTCGAAGACATCGGTCTGGCACTGCTTGACCTTGTAGCGGTTGGGGCCATCACCGTCGGGGCAGGTGAAGCGGATGGCGTCGACGAGGTTGTCGCACCAGCTGGTCGAGTCCTGGCCGGTGGGCTGGATGTCAATCTTGTACTTGAGGCGGTTGTTGGCCTCGTCGAAGCGCCAGGAACAGTCGGCCTCGGTGGTCAGGCCCTTGCTGGGGTCGACGAAGGCGCAGGTGAAGTCGGGGTCAATACCGGGGGGAGGGGTGGCCTGGGCAGGGGTGTTGGTCTCGATCAGGAGGGGGGCATGGCTGACGGGGTCGGGCGCGGGAAGGAGGCGGAGGTCCTTGGCTGCCTGGGTGCTCATGAGGATGTCCGAGTCGGGACCGATCTCCATGAGGTCCTCGTCGTCGCGCTTGAAGATGGAGGGGCTGGGAGGGCTGTCGTCTCTGTCGGCGGACCAGTAGCGAGTGCTGCAGACACTGCTGCGGTAGCAACTGAGAGGTGTTAGCTTGAGTTCGAGTAGACAATTGGATAAGGTAAGGAATTATGACTTACCCCTCGTTGACCCAGTTGGTCAGGACAGGGTGGTTGAAGCACATGGAGAAGTGGATGGCCCATTGGACCTCCTCCATGAAGTCTTTGCCCTCGGGCCAGGGCCAGCCGATCTTGTAGCGGAGGAAGAGGCCATTGCCGTTCTCGTTGGCCTTCCACTTGCGGTCGCACATGAACCAGTAAGTCCAGTTGTCGGTGAAGTCCTGGATCTTGGTGATGAGCATCTCGCACCACTTCTCGCTGGACATGCCGACGGGGTCGATCTTGATCTGGTACTCGAGGTGGTTATCGAAGCCGCAGTTCTCGAAGGAGTAGCTGCAGTCGATCTGGGGGACGATGTAGCGCTTGATAATGTCAGTGCAGTTGTGGTCGGGGAGAGGGCCGAAGTCGTCGCGGATGGTGATGCCGGTGGTGTTGACCAGGCTGACTTGTCCCTCGGAGGAGGCGGTGATGGCAGTCTTGGGACCGAGGCCAGGGCCAGCATTGGCGATGGCGGCACCCAGGGCACCAGCGGCGAGGGAGGCCTGGACGAGGACACGCCGGATCATCATCGTGAAGTCTTGTTTGGTGTTTGAGTGCTTGACGGTAATGATGATGAGAGAGTGTGAAGGGCAAGAGGGGAGAAGAGTTGGGTTTGTGGAGGTGAGAGCGAGAAAATCCTCACGGCTTGCGCAGACTGAAGAGGGCTGGCTGCCTTTGTTGTTTTTGAATTCTTTTCGAGGCGCGTCAGGTTGTGCACTGCTGTTAAGCGAGGCAAAGGTGAGAATAACAAAGACAGACGAGGCAGGAGGCAGGTGAAAGGCAGAGTCGTGCCTTCCTTCAAAAGTAGAAAGAGGTTGAGCTGTGAGGTGAACCTACTCATTCACCCTGAGTCTCCTGGGCTGCTAACCAGACCCAAGCTTAGTTGTGACCTTGAATTAGGAAGGCTACTCGATTATCACCACATTAGCCTTGAATATTTGATACTTACCCCTATTTAAACCTGTTGAAGAAATATCCTGCTTATTTTCGAGAGACTGCTTGATTTTCGAATGCGTAAATAGCTATTTTCACACCTTGAGAACTGAAATGCTTTGACTCAAATGAACAAGATCGCTTTTCGACATCAAGCATATATAACTATCGATTGACTTGCGGCCCAGCTTATGAAATCTGATTTTGAGTTTTACTATCCGTGGAAATGCTGTCGCTTTGGTCGCTACTTCGCTCGTCGTCGTCGTTGCCGCCGCCGACGTCGTCTCTGTTGTCTGTCGCCATCTTACTCATCTCTCGTCGTCATTGTCGTCGGTATAGTTTTTTCATGATCCCTAGTAGTCTCCGTATTCTCTAGTCTGATTGATATACTCCATATTCCTCTCTGTTCCCATCTTTCTCGATGGAAGCATAATTCCAAGATTGCAATGTAGGCTGTATCTGGTAGTTTTCTGCCGTCCGGATCGAATGTTAATATTAAGACCAAAGCTTCTCTGGAGCATCTCAGCAGAAAAGCTTCAATTCAAGGAAGGGAAGATATCACGTAAATCGGAGCTTTCCTGATTGAGGTGTTGTTCAAATGAAGCCATCGTGAGGAATCAAGCCACATGCAAGATGAGGTAATCTTAGAGACGCCACAGCCAGCCCAAGTCAGCCACAGGACCCCCACATATGCAGCCCAACGAGGCACCAATCCGATGGATGCACCTTCAGTACCTGATGGGAGCTTGTGAAGCTGCAGCAGCTGCATTGCGGTACGTACCGATCGGCCCCTGTGGCCCTGCACTAATTCGCAGCCGCCATTGGAGCCAGCGAGCCCGGTACAGCGGCCAGCGGCCAGCTAGCAGGACGCGGTCGAGTCTCGGAATGACATTTCGCGACGCCTGACACTTGACACTTTATGCACCCGCCAGAGCAGAGCTCCATCTTTGCATTTCGCTTCATCTTCCCCTTAGCAGCAGCAGCCGATTCCTCAAACTCCACCGACCGACCGACCGACGTTGACGACACTCCTGAACGGCGTGGACTGCCGCATGCCACACACCGACCGCCTCGATCCTATGCGCGACTGAGCCTCTTCCCCTTCCTGCTGGAAATGCCTGCGGAGACGAAACCATGGACTTTGTGAGTGCTGGAGCCCCCCTTCTAGCTGGCCGGCCGGCGATGGCTTCATTCATGCAATCCCGTGCTGACCTTTGACACCGCAGTGGTCGCGCCTCCTAGCGGGCACTTCGCTCTCCCCCTCCAACAACCGCAAGGTCGACGCCGCAAAGGACCCCACGAAACGCTTGCACCGGTTCGATAAGGAATACAACCGCATCTTGGTGAGCTCTGCCGCGGAACGGACCCCATCGTCGGAGCTTTGGACCCTGACTAGCCCCCCTTTACCTTAGCAAATCTGGAGATCCTCGTCAAACCTCGCCAATGACGTCGACGCCGCCGAAACCCTCGAGATCAGGCTTCAAGAGCTGACCAACATCCTCAACGACGAGTCCCGACGCCCGCTCCCCCACCCCTGCATCCAATATGCCGCGAAGAAACAAGTCTACGTGCCCATCGGCAAGATAGCGACCACATCCTACAACGAGTGGATTATCAAGGAGGCCGTCCTTTTTTTTGCGACCCTGCTCGAGACCGAGGAGGAGGCCTTTGTCGAGAACGTCAACTTCTCCGCCAGTCTGACCAACCTGCTGGTCCGCATCACCGGCGTCAACAGCGTTCGCCTGGGTTCCGACACCGAGGCCAAGGTTGTCGAGCTGGCGTTTAACATCACCACCAAGATCCGCCTCAACCGGGACATCCTGCACGCCTGGTTCAAGACCAACCACGATGGCGCCCCGAAGGCCAACCCCCAAGACGACCAGGGCTCCTTTGCCGGCCGGACCCAACGACAGGACTTTCCGCTATTCTATATTTTGATGGATTATATTCACCACGAGGGCAAGGTTGGAGATTTTGCCAGGACGGGACTGCTGTACATCATCGAGTCGGCGTCCAGCGACGAGTCGTTGGAGCAATGGATTGTCGAGAGTGACCTGTCTACGTTGATGGCGACGGGTCTGGGAGCACTCTACAGCCAGTTGAGCCGGAAGCTCGTCATCGACTACCCTACTAATGGCCTCCCTGCGATTCTGGCCTTCTCCGACTACGAGCGTCCCACGTCCACCTTTGAAATCATCAGCTCCTGCTCTGGCGACTTCCAGGGCCATATCGAAACCTTCCTCTCCCATCTCCTCTTCTGGCAGGACGTGCTGGACCACTGCAAGTCGGTTGAGGTCAAGCAGACACTTCTGGAACACTTCCAGGTCATTTTCCTGCAGCAGCTCCTGTACGACTCCCTTCCGTCTGATATCAAGAGACCCTATACTGACTGAGCGTGCAGATACCCTTCGCTGCTGGAGTCGTCTGATATTGACGGAGGCTCGTCCGTGGCCGTCCTTACCTATCTCCGCCGCATCCTAGAATCCCTCGACCACCCCGACATGATTAACCTCATCCTCCACTACCTTCTCGGTCTCCCTGACCATGTCTCGACTGGCCCCTCAAGTGGTGGGCGCGCTTCCATCAGCGCAGCTCGCAAGCGCAAATCCATGGACCTTGCAACCATGCTGGCCCAGACACAATCCGACATCACCGCTACACCTTTGCTGTTTAACCTCGTTGATCTCATCCAAGCGTGTTTGCGCTCCCATAACCAGCAAACCATTCGTGTTACGCTCCAGCTAGTCTCGGCCATTTTTAAGAGACACCATCGCTATGCTGTGGGCACGCTCTTGCGCACGGAAACAGTGATTGGCGACAAGATGCATCGCACGGTCGGAGCACATGAGCAGGAGGTCGACTATCTCATGAGCCTGGCTGGTTCGATTGGCGGCCAGGACAACTTTGATGAAATCTACGAGAATGTCCTGAAGGATACAATGACCCGACTGGAGGGCCATCCCTGCTCTTTGAAGCTCGTCGCCCCCAAGATTTCCACCAACAACCATGACCTACCCGCTATTCCTGATACGCTTCCTGGGGCGCCACGCGACGTGCACGAGCACACGCTCCGACCGGACGATCCCATGCTCAACACAGTGCTGGACCTTCTCGAGACCTTCTTCATGAACCCTGTTGACACAAACCTCTCTCTGACCGAGTCCATTTTGGATCTGGCCATCTGCGGCTATATGACGGTCGAGGGATGGATGCTCCGGAATCCTCAAAAGTACACTTACGATGAGCAGCCACCTAGCCCGACGTCTCCTGACGCATCAACGACGTCGTTCAGGCCTCCAACGGACCCTGATTCCACAACGTCCGCGGAGCAACAAACCCTTGCAGCTCTTGACGGATGTCGTCGTCGCCCCGTCTGGACCCAGTCCTCTCTGCCGCGTATCCTCATCGTTCTCCAGCAACTCTGCAACCAGGTAGCCCAGTACCGCGAGACGGTCCCTCGCTTTGAGGACCTCCTGCAGAGCCGGAGAGAGGCGTTCCAGACTGCGGATAACCGGCCCACGCCGCCGCCACTGCCGCCTCGCAAGCCGACTCCGCAGAGACACAGGTCAGCGCATACCCCGGAACGCGAAAGTCTGGATGATGCACGCAGTGGATCGCCGGCGCGCCCGTCTGGCCTGGAACGTTTTGCACAGCGCCTGGTCTCGGAGTTGAGCACTCCAACCCGGTCAGGAACCCCCAGGGGAAGAAAGAACAGCCGTGGTTCCGGGACTAACAGCCCGGCCCCGGGCGGTCTATCGGGCGGATATGGTCTGTCTACCCCGACGTCCCGGCCTCTTCCCCCACCAAAAGACACTCCCTACGACCATGCCCCAAGAAGCGTGACAGATGAAACTGGTTCGTCGCATGGGCCTAGAGACCCCGTGGCCAGCCAGGCAGCTGCGTTTGCAGCGATTGACCAAAGTATCCTCGCGCGTAAGGTCGGCATTCCTGGCAAGGTCGAGGCCATCCCGCTGGATCTCGGGAAGAAGCCGACCCTACATATGCCGCCGCCCAAGGACGACGATGAGGAGGCGGAGCAGGAGGTCACGGAAGAAGGGGAGCAAAAGGCTACGCAAGAAGGAGAGCAGGACGCTTCAGAAGCCCAAGAGGCCCAGCCGGAGCCAAGCGGCGATGATACCGCCGATGTCAAGCCAAAACCAGAGGAGAAGAAGGCGGAGCGTACCGCTTCGGTCTCGCATGTCCTCACCAACGTGATTGTACTGCAGTCATTCCTGTTTGAGCTCGCTGCCCTGATCCAGGTGCGTGCCGGGCTCTTCAACGAGGTTCGCTACGCCTGAGGTGGTGCCGGATGCAACCGTGGGGAGCATGGGGCCAGGGTGGAGACTTTTCTGTTTCTTTTCTACATACCAGATAAAAGACCATTCTTATTGTACGTAGTATACTTTTTCCTGTGGCTTCCCGGTTCTGGGCCTCGTCGCTCGCTTGCATTGCTTGGCGTCGGTAGGGAAGGGGAGGTGGTTCTCTGTTAGGTGCTGATGAATAGACTTATCTGCTGTGTTTATTACTATGATGTCGTCTGCTGAGTGGTTCGGTCTGGGCTCAGTGAAGACGATGGTGAGGCGACTATTATGCGGCA